TTATTAAGGATATATCTGTCCTGCTATTGCTTTCCTTAGCAGCTCACCAAATAGCAGTTCTTGGCAGATTTCGTTACTGAGCCTGGATGTGACCCTTGTAATAATCTCTGGAGCATCTGAGGCAGCTGTATTTTTATCCACTCTACATCAAGTCTCCCGCAAGGTGTGATTTGCTGTAATATTTGCTGTCATTGTTTTCCTTTCTTTTTGTCCGCCTACAGCAATTTATATACATTCATCCCTTGTTACCCGTTTCCAGGGAACCTCTGAAGTGTCCAGAGTCCGTGGACAATCAGGTCCTTATGTAAAACGGTGCGGTGTTTGCATATATCCCATTTTATACATTTCCCCATACTTCAACTCATAACTATGTTGCTGATAGCACCCAGTAAAATATAAATGCTGCAACTAACCATTGGCCGGTACTGTTTAGAGAACGATGAGGGGGAGGAGAAGTCGAGACACGCCCATTACCAAAACAAACATTTTCCTGAATATTTCCATCAGTGGAAAGTAGAATCTGTTTATATAAAACCCAAAGACGTGGGGGGGGGACCAAAGAATGTCTTCTTTGGTCTTCTCACCGTATCGCCCTCCATTTACATATTTCTGCTCTACTTCTGTGCGTGTGTGCAGGTATACGTGAGCATGGGTATGCATGCATGTGTGTTTGCGCGCTTGCAGGCCAGAGGACAACCTCCGGTGACATTCTTCAGACACTGTCCACTTTGCTTTTTGAGACGGGGTCTCTCGCTGGCGTGAAATTCATCAAGTAAACTAGGCTGCCCGCCAATGAGTCCCAGAGACGCACCTATCTCTGCAAAAGCCTGTGCTACTGTGCCCAGCTGTTTTTACGTGGCTTCTGGGACTCAAACACAGGTCCACCAGCTTGTGCGGCAAGCTAGCTGACTGAGTTGCCTTCTGAGCCCTTTACTTCTACTGTTGTTGAGTAAAACAGGAAGAAACATATCTTTTTCCCCCAAAGGTATGCATTTTGTAAGACACTTAATTTAGTAAAATTTTCTAAAGTAGTTTATTGACTATCACGTGTCTTTAAGGATCGTTGAGGAGAAAGAACACAGTAGGTTTATCTTTTGTCCAGATCCTCAGGTTCTTAAGGTCCTGCTGATTCTGAGTATTTAACAAGTACCCCAAGATACTTAAGACCAGGGTTTCACTGATAATAACGAATGTGCATCGCTTCTGAGTTGAATAAACCCTAATCCCTGCATTTTAAATAGGCTTCTCATTACTTTTGAAGTTTTGATTGCCTTATCAGATCTGATTGCCTTTATTTTCCCCACACTAGGGTGGCAGACAATGAACTCTTTCAAAAGTAGGATCTATGTTGACTCCACTCTTTCCTCAGCTTTCCTAGGAAAAAGGTTTGCCTTCAACTTAGAGGTTTCCCCCCTTTGTTTGTTTGTTTTGTTTTTTAGCTTAAATGGCGGCTAATCTAGTTTAAACCGAACACCACCGTATGAAGCCCACCCTGCAGTACATCATAGTCCATCACAGGGAAAGAGCTCTTGTCAGTCCCACTGGCCCTCCTCATGGAGTTTGGCAAGTAGGGTTTAATTCACTGTTAGACACTCTGACCAAACATGGGGTCTGATTTAATCTATATATTTACCAAGCCACATTCTGTCGCTCTTAGGAGCCAGCCTGTAAACCCAGGAAAGAAATGACTGCTGAAAGTAGAAACAGAGGATGTAAAACATTGGTCCTGGGGGACATATTCAAACTCCTAGGTGAAGACATCCCCAAATCCAGCCATTATCCCGGGACTTCTCGATACAGCAGGTCAATAAATCCCAGTTAACTGCACAGCTATTTCTTTAAATTGGCTTCTATAGAGAAGCCACTTATTATCTATCATTCACAATGAAAAATATCCCTCACCAACACAACTGTCAACTCTTATAATTTGCTTTGCTGTTACTTTTATTTCTTTTGGCTCTGTTTGTTGATTGTATAGTTATACTCCGACTCGAGACCAATTACGTCCTAAGTATTAAGCAGAAAATAAAATAATAAAATGTACAATAAAATGTACATTTCTTATTGGAAGAGAGAAGCCATTTTTAAAAGCTTTCGGTTTGTTGTAACAGTTAACTAGAAATATGGCTTGTCGGATGCTATTGTGTACCTGGCACACAGTACTGGGTACAATTTAGATGCCAGGCAGATCAATAAAGTAATAATGGCTACCATTTATAGAAGCCTGCTATCTATCTGCCAGGCACTTTTTATAACCTACCACTTTCAATTGCGCCAGCCCCTGAAGGGCGCTATCTCTGTCATTTGTCATATGCCAGAGCCTAGTTTGGGAGAGGGCAAAGGTCAGGAGCTGGTAAGTGCAATGCCAGCATGGAAAGCCAGGCTGGTTTGACCTCAAACTTGGCTAATTTCTACTACTGCAAGCTGTTGTCAAGAGAAATGCAAGAGAAGTGGCAAAACTCATTTTTTTTTTTTTTTTTTTTTGGTTCTGAAAACAATAAAGTGAATTTCAGTAGAGGAGAGGTATGGCCAATTTTGAGGGCACACAACGTTGCTAATTAATATAGGACAAAAGATAAAACTTTACACATCAGAGCTGCCTTCTTCAGCCCTAGCACAATGACAGGCAGGGTAGGTGATGGGGGTATTTATGCCCTACTCATCTTGGTCCAACAAGCAGGAAGGCACGCAACAGCAGACTGACAAGCTTCAAAGCACACACCACTCTCCCCTCATTCAATTTTCCTTTCTGTTGCTGTGATTAAACACCCCCAACCACAAGCAACTTAGGGGAGAGTTTATTTCATCCTACAGGTCACAGTCCATCACCGAGGGAAGTCAGGGCGGAAGGAACCTCAAGCAGGAACTCGAAGCAGGAGGCCATGGAGGAATGCTGCTTGCTGGCTTGCAGGCTGGCTGGCTGGCTCATAGCTAGCTTTCTATCCCAGGACCACGTTCCCACAGAACAATGCAGTGAGCAAGGTCCTCCAACATCAGTTATCAGTCAAGACAATGCCTCCACAGACACAGGCCCATCTAATCTAGGCAATTCTTCCCTCAGAGAGCTCCAGGCTGTGTCATCAACAGAGAAAACTAGAGCATCTCTCTCAAGCATGGAGAACATACTTGTTGTCTGGTTGGTTGTTTTTTTGTTTGTTTGTTTGTTTTGTTTTTTGCTCTTCCATGCAGTTGACTTTACACAAGCAGGTTTTCCAACTCTGCTTGTACCTATGGGGTATGTTCAGTTCTGGGGTTGAGTAGACCCGTTGCAGCTCTAGCTACTCTAAAGCCATGGCCAACATTCCAGTTTGACCTGTCACAGAGTTTACGTTTTTGTTGTTGTTGGTTTGTTTGTTTGGTTGGATGGTTGGTTGGTTTCCATCCATGGAACATGTGCAGCTGTGTTAAATTCAGGGGAATTTAAGCATAGTTTTGAAACCTTCTGAAACGTCATCAGCAGGCCTCGGTAGTAGACAAACTATGACAAGTTCGGAGCCCACCATGAAGCCCCGGGGCTTGTATGGTAAAGAAGGTGAACACAAGACAGAGAAGGGAGTGATGAAGTGCCTGCAAGGAAGGCAGAAAGTTTGGGTTTCGTGTGGAAGAAGAACATGGATGAAGTTTCTCAGTGGGTGAAGGCATGACACCTTAGTGTCTAAACCCGGAGTGAAAGAAGGCGGTGATTTTTCCCCAGCACAACCAGAATGAGTATGAGGGGAGCCAATCCTCTCAGAGGTGGCTTCTTGGAATTCTGAATGAGGAGGGAGTCTGCCGTGGGAAAGCAGACCTGGGCACAGAACGGAAGGGCTACTATGTAGGAGATCTCTGTGAGAAACCGATTAGGCTAAGGTGACAGCACCGCTGCGGGGAAAACACAGGGGAGTTAGGAGGAGCAGTCCTGCTAGGCCACAGAGGAGGACTCTGGCGATACCTCACAAAACAGGGTCAGATGAAAGGGGAGGAGGTCCTCCCCAATTAGTGGACTTGGAAAGGGGCAGGGAGGAGATGAGGGAGGGAATGAGGGAGCGGGATACACCTGGGATACAGTTAATAAAATGTAACTAATAATAAAAAAAATTAAATTAAATTAAAAAACAAACAAACAACAACAAAGGAGGCAAGTCATGAAGCAACCCCTGAGCTGGTGGACGGTGGGGCTCCGAAACCGGATGTTGGGTCTGAAGTGTCACACATAGATTTAACCCTGGTCACCAGAGTCAGGGAACTCAGGGCAGGAAAGAGGGGGCGGGGGCGGGGTCAGCACGCTTGTTGTAGAGACGGTACACCTTTGAAGACCTCTGGGGGAAAGAAACAAGGGTGGAGATGGAAGGCACAAATACAGAGATTTGGCGAGGAGTGGGTGGAGAAGCAATCACCTTCCTGGATTAGAGGGGAGTGTATTAAAACGTTGCACCGGGCTCCTGGCAGAGCAGGACAACTATGCCCTCTCCCCGGTATACCCACAGCCGAATGCAAAGCAGCATAAAGCTCCCTCCTAGCCTTTCTTGGGCTCCTGCGCCCACCTCCTTCTTGGGCTGTAGTAACACCTTCACATCCGCTGCTCTCTTCCCCTTTCAGCCACGAGGGGTGGCTCCAGGATTCTCAGGTTCGAGTCCCAGCCCCGGTACGGGCGCTCACTGTGCTGCCCACCTGGTTGTCCCTGCAGCCTGCAGCTAGTTTCTGCGGTTACCCTGGCTGCCGCAGGCCAGCGCCCCTCCCGGGCGTGGAGTTCCCGCGGTTTCCCCCTTCTTTGTTGCAGCCCCCGCCCCCCCCCCCCAAGACAGGGACACCCAGTGCCTTCTCTTGAGGTGCCTGAGGATTCTCGGTGGGGGTCTGGGAGAGAACAGGGATGCCCGCGGTGCGCGGACGCTCTGGGGCTCCGGGAGGGGACCGGGAGGAGGGAGCGCAGCGGGAGCCGCGGGGGCCGCGCTGCAGAAGGGGAGGAGAATGGGGAGGAGCTGGGGGGCCGGCGGGCGGGGAAGGAGGGGTCTTAAGAGGAGGCGAGCCCAGGTCGGACTTCCTCGGAGCCTGGTGATCGGCGACGCTCCCACCTCCGCCACCAACTCGCTGCCTCCACTCCGCCCAGCGCCCCCCCGGGAGCCCCGGACCCGAGCACGGTGAGCGCAGCCCCGGAGGCCGGGTGGCTGCGGGCACCGAGGGTGCTGGGAGGAGGGGGATGAGTCTGCGGGACCTGAGGAAGTTTCCAGGATCTGAGCGGGGCCTTCAGTGTCACCCTCTTCTCTCTTCCGCAGATGTGGAAACGCTGGCTAGCGCTCGCGCTGGTGACGGTCGCCCTGGTCCACGGCGAGGTAGGTGACCCGTCTCCCGGGTTAGCGCGCCCGGTGGCCAGGGCGTGCGGCCCAAGGATGCACTCTGTGCATGGGACCTAAGGGTCCCCATCCTTACGATGAAGTGGGACTCCGGCGCGCTCTGAGCAGAAATCCTACTCAACAAACTTAAATCTCAGTTCTGAAGTAGTTTAGATCTTAAGCTGGAGCCCCACCTCGCCTAATATGGAGGGTGGCTGGGGAGTGGGGAGAGGGGAGAGGGAGCAGACTGGGCGGATGGGGGCAGAGGCGGCGACCAGAGCAGCAGCAGAGTTCAAAAAGGCGCCTCGAGTTTTTCTGTCCGCTTCAGAGGAAACCGAGAATAGTTACAGGACTTTTCCTTTGCAAGTCTTTCCTGTTGGAGGAAGATTGAAAAGATTTTTTTGTTTGTTTTGTTTTTTTTAACAGCAAAATGAAATTTCCTTTCTTTTTTATAGAGTGACTTGTGATTCCCTGAAATGCATTTTCTCCTTTGTAAAACGCCCTGGATTTTTGTTGGTGTTATTATCTGGACCTCATAAGAGCCTTTTACAATCCAAAATTTCCCTTAAACTCAGTAGAGCAAGTGTGGAAATCTGAGGCTCTAACCTTTGAGGGCCTCTAGTTTCCAGTTAAAACATACAGAGCTTGCTTTCTTTCTTTCTTTCTTTCTTTCTTTCTTTCTTTCTTTTCTTTTCTTTTCTTTTCTTTCTCTCTCTCTCTCTTTTTTCTTTCTTTCTTCTTGTAATGGTTTCTTTTCAACTCCAGTGACCTTCCTGAGACACTACAAACAAATCAACAAACCCCACGCTCACAAGCCCCTCCATTAACTCAAAGGTTTATGGACAGAAAATAAACAGTCCCAAATTCCCTGGGCTCCAGTCTCCAGAAAAGTGAGGTCAGAAACTAAACATTTGATAATTGTGGCAGGAAATGTGGAAGGAATTAGAAAGCATGAGGGAGAAGAAATGGAATGCACATTACAGAAGCAATAGCTCCCTGGTGGGCGGTTTATAGCCCCTCTTTGAGTTTTTCTTTCACATTACAGTCTAGCCCCACCCTTTGTGTCACAGCTTGACTCTGCCCCAGAATTCACAAATGCATACAGTCTTCGTAACTTAAAAAAAAAAAAAAGAAAGAAAGAAAGAAAGAAAGAAAGCACACACTGTACTGAGTACTGCATCATTGATTGAGGTAGAAACAGGCTATTTTTACTCCTGGTGAAATAAAAGCAGCAAGTATTTGTTAGGTAGCTACTACTTTATTAAAATTCTCCTTTTGTCGTAGAGAAACTGAGTCAGAGAAGTGCCCTCAGTTATAATAGTGGGAAGCTACCGAGCTCCAGACCCCAGGCTCTTAATCACTACCTGGCCCCGCTCTGCAAGCATGAAGGGTTAGAATTTCACCAGGTATTTTGATATCAGACATTGGCTGCTTGTATCACTTGTACCGTTTCTCTTAAAGCCTTTCAGCCCTGTGATGTGGGATTTGTTGGCTCCATTTTACAGAGCAGGGAACAGAGTTAAGAGGGTCATTAAATTGTCCACGGTCCTATGACTGATTCCTTTTAGAAATGGGTCAGTACGTTCCCAGCTCTACCCTCTACCTTTCAGACACTCTGTGAGCCCCGCCTGCTCCTTTTCAGAGTGCAAAGGGAGGAAATATACCTGGTTTTTAGCTCTGGTTAAGGAATACTCTTTTCTCTGTTATGGCTCTGAAAAGAGCTAGCTAGTGGCACTCACCTTTAAACCCAGCACTTGGGAGGCAGAAGCAGGCGGATCTCTGTGAGTTTGAGGCCAGCCTGGTCTACGTGGTGAGTTGCAGCATGAGCTACATTGTGAGACCCTGTCTCAAATAATGATGATGGTGACGATGACGACTGATGATAAAATAAAATAGCCAGATGGTGGTGGTGCACATCTTTAATCCCAGCCTGTGGGAGGCAGAGGCAGGCAGATCTCTATGAATTCAAGGCCATCCTGGTTTATAGAGAGATATCCGGGGTAGCCATGGCTACATAGAGATACCATGTCTAGAAAAATCAAATACAATGAAAAAGTAATCATTAATTAATTAATCAGTTAAAAAGATGACTGCTGTCCCGTGATAGATGAGGTGAATTCCTGGCTAGTTTCACAGCCAGCTTGGGAGTTGCCAGCCAGTTTGTGAAAAGACAGAACTGTTTGCAGAAGCAAGGAGTGCGGGAACTGTGACTCATTGGCACAAAGGTCTGGGATCTGGTCTGGGTAACCCGCCCTTCACTCCTGCCTCCTCATCCCACTGCACTGCAGGGAAAAGCTCACGCCAGGTAGGAAGGCCCCCAGCTACAATTTCCTGCTGGGTGCTCTGTGGTTGAAGATCCAGTATTCAGCTCCCAGGCAAAACCTGCAGAAAAAGAGGCGAAGGGCAGTGCTGAGGCATGAAAAGCCAGGGAGCTGGTGCAGCAAAGAGGCTGTGGAGTTCAGGATGCACGCACAATGAAGAGGGATGGCAGACAGGAGCCACAGCCACGTCATATTTCCTGGCTTCACTTTATTAAGGATTATTATCTTTTAATCAACCCGGCCTTTATTGCCTGACCTTCCAGATAACACTTGGCAAGTTTTAATGCACGTGTTAAATACTGCATCTTTAATCATGGATGAAAAAGCAAATTAACCCTCTCCATGGGAGATGTGGCTCGGAATACATTTTAAACACTGTATTTGCAGTTAATGATGCTTGCAGTAGATTTTTTTCTTCATTGTTAGCTATAAGAACATTCAGCAAACATGCAAATATGGTGTTTTTATTTTGGCATGAGTACATTTTTTTTTTTAAATTTAGGTCTGCTACAATTGCGCAAACATTGTTGAACTCTCAAAAAAAAAAAAAGAAACAGAAAATAAAGTGAATTTTCCTGGTGCTTTTTTGTTTTAATAATCAAACATAAGGATTTAACTCACTTTTTAAAACCACTGTTTTTCAACTCCTGTTGGTTCTTGAGAAACCCAAAGCCTTTAGAGTCAGCTTTCAGAATCAGAGCTGTTCCTTCTTGGGGAAGAGTGGCTGGTATGTTCTCAGTGCTGGTGTGTAAATTTTATTTGGTTTTACTTGAAGAACGATTATTACACCTCACTAAGGGGGAAGTGCTACATTATTTTCTGTATTTTCTATGGTCTCATACCTGGCACCTCACAGTACCATTGTGGTTGTTTTCTCCCTTTGCATTTTCACTACTCTATGACCAGGATGTTCCTTCAGCCAGCCTCTATCGGATTTCTGCCCCACCCATGTGAGCAAACACACACGTGCTCTTCAGGGCTCTGCACATATCTCTAGATATACACGTGTTGGACAGGACTCGGGAGGGGGAGGAGCAGCAGCAAAGGGAGGGCTTCTACCAAGAGTCTCTCCTGCCTCCCTATCTTTCTTTCTTTGCAGACCTCTCCCCCCGGGAATGACCACAGTTCTTTGGGAGGTTTTGGTAACACAATAGAGGGGTGATATAGAGAATTCCAGGCATCAGTTTGTGTCACCCTGGAGTCTTGAGGAGTATAATTCAGTTCCTCTGACATGACAGGCTAGAGGAGACACACAGCCCAGCTGCCTGCTCCAAGAGGACAATCTTAGTAAGTGTCCAAGTGACCCCTACGTGTCCTCGCTTATTTTTACTCTGGTTCCCAGCATTTCGGCCGGGAATTATTATAAGTTACATATACAAGGGACAGATTTATAGAGGAGATCACTCATGCCAGCAAGAAATCCACACTTGAGCCGAGAGCTGGGAATGTGTCTCTCGAGACAGCAGTGTGGAGAAGCAATAACAGTTCAACAGACAGATGCGCTGTGCTTAGCTATTAGGCATGCCACGCTAGCAGACTGTCAGGGCTTTGTCCCTAGGAAGCCACACTGCTTAATAGCATTTACACCTCCCCACCTGCACGGAGTTAAGCACCGGGATAATGTCCATGGGCTGGGAAGGGTTAAGAGCACCTCTACATTCTATAGAACTGTCCTTGAGCCAACAGCGTAACCCCACGTCCCCCAACTGCAGCCTCTGAGCTTGCACATTAGCCACCAAAATGATCTTCTGTTTATCCTGTGGCAAATAAACTCCTTGCTGTGATCCTGAAGGCGCTGCTGGGAACCGAGAAGTTAAAACATAGCGGGACACCACCAGATAGCCAAAACAGATGGGCAAGCACCTGGCAGATGGAGGTGCTGCTGCCGTCAATGTCTTTAGAAGGTGCATGCATTGCAGTTCGTATCAAAGTGACCTGGGTGATGGGAAGCTTGTGCGACTAAGTTAAAGGGCTGTAGCAGGAAGAGGCTGCAAGGAGTATGCCTGAGGTGGATACAAGGGCCCCAGAGGTATGCCCTGAAGAAGTGGTTGGCTAGACAGCAGCACAGGCCTGGGCAAGAAGAAAAAGTGAAAGGGAGGCTGTAAACACCCAGGGCCACATTGGTGGATTGGAGATGTGGTGGTTTCTTTTTCTTTCTCCTCCCCAAATACCTGGTCGTCCAGGGGGAACATTTTGAGCAGACATCTATTTTATTGGCTCCATAATACCAGCTGTCGTATTATTAGAAAAAAAAAAAAAAAGTAAATATGTTCATTTTGTAAGTCAGATGCTGAGTGACCTTGATGGCTAAATGCATACATCTTCCTAGGTTGCCCAACTGCAAACCCTGTGGCTTTCTCCAAGGAATGAGCCATGAACGTCACAGGGCTTCCCTTCACTGTTTCCGTCAAGCCTAGCAGTGTCTGGTTCAGGCCAAGCATGCCCGTGCACAAAGCAGAATCCAGAATGATGTGCAAAGGCTTGATCTCTGTGCTCCAATTCCTTACAGTCTGCGGGCAGGTCAGGAGCCTTAGGTGCCAACGGATAAAACAGATTAAAACAACATTATTAGCAAGTGAATTCAAGGACAGCCTGGACAACATCAAGAGTTCTAGGTCAGCCAGGCCCTCTTAGTAAGATTCTGTCTTAAAAAAAAAAAAAAAAAAAAAAAAAAAATCA